CCTTTTCTTCATTAACAAAATTTATACTAAAGCATATCCAGGAATAAAAGAAAGGTTTTGATGATATTTGCTTTCTAGTTTAATAAGTTTTAATACTGAATAGGTTAAATTAATACAAAATAACATAAAATGCTAATGTTTATTGAGTATTTACTTTGCACCCAGTACGATCTTACGTAATTTACTGGGATTATTTTATTTTAGTATAACAATGCAGGTAGCTACTATAGTCGTCCTTATTTTACACTTGAGGAAACAGGCTAAGAGAGATTAAATTAGTGGCCCAAGGTCAGAAAGCTAGTAATTATTGAAACCAGGATATGATTCTGTATAATGTGAGGGTTCAAGCCTTTACCTGTGATGCATGTTGCCTCTTATTTCATTAATTTAAATTGGTCATTTGGGTTAATCACATAGAAGGTGACGTTCCCTTTTTGTTTTTGTATGACTTACATTCTTCAACATTTTTCATCCACAGTGTGATAAAATAAAATCATGTTCATTCTCTTCTATACTTTTATATTTGTGTTTCCCTATTGCCTTTACAAATAAAACAAACAATCTCAATAGCAAATCCTTGTGTGAAGTGAGTTAATGAATCTGATTCCAGCCATTTTCCTGTTGCAACCCAAGGACTTTGAGGTTCATCATAAATATCTACCTATAGGCCAACAAAAATTTTCATGAGTGGGTAACTCTAGTACTGTAGACATGAAAATGTAATACTATATATTTTTTAAAAATTACTTCTATTTTAGTAGATCTCTATATAACTACCTTCTGGAATAACAATATTATGTAGATTGTTTTTCTAATTAAAATATTAAATCCTTATTTAAAGACTGCTGTTTATTTGGCTATTTATTTACACATTACTTATGAGTCTCCGTTTGGAATTTGTTAGTTTCTATACATCTGCTCCATAAGCTATTTTTATGTGAAAGTTGCTGCTTTATAAGAACATTTGCCTCTACATGTTGCTCTTTTATTATTGCTATATTTAATTGGAATGCCTCTATTGTGTAACCAGAAAGAGTTTTTCAAACTTGGGAATGTTTGCATCACATAGTACAGAGATATGTATTTATTTATTTAATTTCATTTCCCTAAGATATCAACTTTGATTAATAATTATATACAGGCTTTGTTCTTCTTATCTGGGTGTCAACAGTAATTGGAATCCATATCCATATCCTACCTTGCAATCATGCTGCAAAAGGCCAATAAATTCCCGCTGAGTGTGTTACTTGTTAAATTTAGTGCATTACATTCAGGGTAATGAATAAAAGCAGTGGACCGTTACCGTCTGGCTGGCTAAGGAAGGCTAGAACAGCCAGACTCCCCTGAGGCCTTGAGCCAGCTTAAAAACGGTGACAGGCAGAATCAAGGGAGTCCCCAAGCATCACAGTTCAGTTTGTCTCCCTTAATTTCCTCTTCTGTAGAGACTCAGGCTGTACGGAGGGGAGGAAATCTTATCCATTAATTCACCACACTTTCATAAAATGCTGCATGCTCTGGTTTCATTAACAAGCAAATACAGTTTAGATAAATAGTTATGTATTTACATTTGAGCAGGGAGGTGAGAATGCTACTGAATGTAAATGAGTGGCTGTGCCTTCATGCACTTCACTTTGCATATCCACATATGTCTATTGTGTATTCATTTGTCTGTATTAAAAATGCACATAGATATTTTTGTGAGTGAATAATCAATAAAGCAAGCCCCATAGGTATATATGTCTACTTACTTCCCTCTCATATTTATTAAACATACATAAGCAGTCACTGAAAAAAGGACTACAACATTTCTAAGGCTACTTACAACTCTTTTTTAATAAATAAATATACGCTTCATATAAAAATATTATTTTAAAAACTGTAATGTGAAAATTTCAGATGTATGGTAAATATGCAAATGTGAAGATATTAGAAAAAACTGGTCTATACTCTCAGTTTACTGTTTACAGTTGTGAGAACTGAGAGTCTTTATTCTCCCAGCATAATAATTATTACACATTATGCTTCCTGCCAAAACTAGCTGACTCCCTTAGTCCTTTGAGCTGTTGTGAATATCTATATCAATTCAAAAACAACTAGATTCTTAAAGAAAGGAAGAAAATATAATTTTATGAAATGACCACTTTTATTATTCTTGAGTGTCTCAGAAAATTTAGTGTAAAGTGTCCTTTGCTATCCAGGATAGAACAGCTGGTTCCAGATAACATGGTGTATCTCATTAGAGAGATATTAGATCTAATTATGCAACATATAAGCGAGATCATTACAGAAACATTATCTTGATGAGGTAAGTAAAGTACATGTGAAATCTAACTCTGCTGTTTTAAAGAATTTTTGAAAGCAAATGTAAGGAATTAATGATTACTTAAGTGTATGAAGAAAGCTGTTGCAAACTACTTATGAATCTTTGACATGTAATGAAAAAATATAATAGAATGATAAGTACCCTGATTATTTGTGCTAGAGATAAAAATCAACTTCTGGGCAAATATTATCTTTTGTTATGGACAATTTTTTTTTCTAAACATAAAATCAGTGCCTTTTCATAGCATTTCTACTGTGTGAGAACTTCTCAAACTTTAGAGTGTAACTGAATCACAGAGAGGGCTTATTAAAACAAAGATTGCCGGGCTCAAATCTCAGATTCTGTTCAATAAGGGTAGACCCAGAAAATTTGCATTTCTAAAATTCCCAAGTGATGTTCATGCTGCTGGCCCCGGTCCACTATTTGAGAACCACTGCACTATGTGAAAATCACTAAAGAAGATGCTTAACTTACATTATCTTCTTGATTATTTTTCTGTAAGATGAAAGTCCATGGGTTCTATTCTGTTAGGTATTTTGCTTCCTTTCCTTTTTATTTTTGGAGACAGGGACTCATTATGTTGCCCAGGCTGGTATTGAACTCCTGGGCTCAAGTGGTCTTCTCACTTCAGCCTCCCAAAGTGCTGGGATTACAGGTATGAGCCACCGTGCCCAGCTTGCTTGATATATTTCCATCAAGCTATCTATATTTGAAAATTTAGATTCTTTTACAAATAAATCTATCTTCTAAATATGGTTAAGACTAGATGCTGGTCGGGCACAGGGGCTCATACCTGTAATCCCAGCACTATGGGAGGCCGAGGCGGGCAGATCACGAAGTCAGAAGTTTGAGACCAACCTGACCAACATGGTGAAACCCCATCTCTACTAAAAAATACAAAAAAGTTATCCAGGTGTGGTAGCATGTGCCTGTAATCCCAGCTACTCAGGAGGCTGAGGCGGGAGAATCGCTTGAACCTGTGAGGCAGAGGTTGCAGTGAGCCAAGATCACACCACTGCACTCCAGCTTGGATGACAGGGCAAGACTCCATCTTACAAAAAAAAAAAAAAAAAAAGGCTATATGCCAAGCATTAGGCATATTTATAATAGCGTGTTTATAAACATCAGCACAAATAATAAAATGAATAGACATTACCAGTTTAATAATTGACTTAGCAAGGAAGATGCCAGGAATAAAGAGGTTTCAGCTCTACAAAGCTGATTTCGCTTACTCTTATCTGTAGACATTGTCTTTTTCCTAAGAGTTCTGAGTTTGTTTACTAAGTTTACCAATTCTGTTCATATCAATGTTAAATTTATCAAAAAGTAGCCACAGGATCAAAGTTCTTGATTTTGAAAAACTGGATTATGATCTGTTTTCCAAGTTGATTTAAACTAAGCGATTTGACTAACTCTCGTCTCCATCTTCACAGCAAAACAGAGCGTGACACTCCCAATCATCTGCATGTTGGAAATGAGGAAATGGTTACTGAATGATGCAACTGCTTTTCTATCATTTAGAAAGTTCTGTTTCCCAAGATCACTTTTTTTTGAGATGATGTCTCGCTCTGTGGCCCAGGCTGGAGTGCAGTGGTACGATCTCGGCTCACTGCAACCTCTGCCTCCTGGGTTCAAGCGATTCTCCTGCCTCAGCCTCCCGAGTAGCTGGGACTACAGGCGTGTGCCACCAAGCCACCAACTAATTTTTGTATTTTTAGTAGAGACGGGGTTTCACTATGCTGGCCAGGCTGGTTTCAAACTCCTGACCTCGTGATCCGCCCACCTTGGACTCCCAAAGTGCTGGGATTACAGTTGTGAGCCACTGTGCCTGGCCTACCAAGATCACTTTTTAAGTATCCAGAAAAGCTCTTTCTTATATTGAATTATATCCAGAGGCATAACTAGTGAAGGTTTAGACTCCATTCATTCTCCTATGTTTTTGTTCTTAACTGCATTCAGCAGTCGCATCAGGAACTTTAGAAAATACTGATGCCTGGGTCTCAACCAGAGAGAACTGAATTGAATTGGTCTGGTGAGTAGCTAGGTTATAAGGACCTTTTAAAAATCTTTCTCATGTGATTACAATGTGTAGCTGAGAGTTTGAGACCAATGCGTACCATTATTTACAGGTGAATTCATTAAAAGAGCTAACAACAATGAAGTTAATGTGCTCATCTCACCTCTCAAGAGTATTAACAGGCCAGGCATGGTGGCTCACGCCTGTAATCCCAACACTTTGGGTGGTCGAGACAGGCGGATCACCTGAGGTAAGGAGTTCAAGACCAGCCTGACCAACATGGTGAAACCCCGTCTCTACTAAAAATACAAAATTAGCCAAGCATGGTGGTGCATCCCTGTAGTTCCAGCCACTCGGCAGGCTGAGGCACAAGAACTGCTTGAACCCAGGAGGCAGAGGTTGCGGTGAGCCAAGATCCTGCCATTGTACTCCAGCCTGGGCAACAAGAGCGAAACTCTGTCTCAAAAAAAAAAAAAAAAAAAAAAAAAAAAAAAAAAAGAGTATTAACACACAGGAAATCACAAAGTTTTCATTTTGAGTAGTGTAATCCACTCTATGGATTTACTATAATCATGGTGGTAACATGCTAACAGAAGCAATGTTTATTATGAGAGTTAAAGTTTCATTTGGTTTAGGTTCATATTTTCTTTCTCCTGTCAGTGTGCAATGCATCCCTAACAGAATTCCAGAGAGCAATGATGTGCCAGGCTCTGTGTATGGGACAGGGACACAGTGGTGAACCAACACAAAGGTAGGTTTATAGAATCATGAGTAATATGTTTAGAACAAATACAAATGTGAAAATCATTGGCAAAATAAAAGATTTAAATATTTAAAAAAGATTTACAAATCAACAATAATTTGATGTTAAAACATAGATTATATTGGCAAAAAGTAGAAAGGGAATGTGGATGTGAAGAGAAGGAATAAAAGGAGTACAGATGGAAAAATGTATTAATATTTTTGTCCTCACTGGGCAGGGACAACTATGTTGCTTCATTCTTGGCTTTGATACTAACACAGGTATAAAGCATAAGAAACATATGTAGACATTTTAAGGAGACATACAAAATAAATATAAAATATAAACATTGTGTATCTTATCAAATCACTAGTCAAGAATCATATAATTTAAATAACTAAAATCAAGGCAATAAAAGACAAAGTTAATAACTGTTATTTAAAAGGATTTGTACCCTACAAACAGAACTACACAGTTTTCAGCCATCTATGATTTATTTACCAAAATAGACTAGTATTCGTTAAGAACAAGATAATAATAATAAATAACAGAAATTTCAGGAATTACATAAAGTCACAACTTAATAATACAAAAAAAAAGTTTTCATAAAACATTCCCCCAAAATATTAAAATCAAACAACAAATCAATAATAACATTAAAATAAGCAAGCTATTTGCCTAAATAACTGTTGGGACAGAAAGGAAACTAAACCATAATTGTAGGCCATTTAGGAACGTACTAAATTACAGCACCACATTTTAACACTGATGTATCACCAAACCTGTTCTTAGAGACAAATTCATAGGCTTTAACAGTCTATTAAAAAGAAATGTAAAAGAATCATGTCTTTATCACAGGGACTTAACTGGACTACAATAAAGCAAAGATGAAACTTAGAAGGAACACAAATATAATTGAATTCAAGAAATTGGAAAATCAACAAGTAAATCACAGAACTAATATTTTTAAAGAAAAAATTCTTTAATATTTTATAAGGAGTAAGAAGCAAGAAAAAAAATGAGAAAGAATATAACATGCAGAAAATTTTTTAAAAATACTGAGGGTAATGCTTAAGAAGGTAATCGCAAATTTCTAGAAGAAACGCTAGCAAATATAATTTGTATAGGATGTTAAAACAATACCTAATAATGCGTTACTACTTTATCTTAGTAATGTATAGATGATTTCAATAATCAATTTATAATATTTGACCTTATGTAATGGCATTCTCTCTCCATGTGTTCAAATTTTCTTATAGGACTAATACATATGTTTTAATATACTTCTGACAAGTTTATGCTTTTTGTGAAAATTAGAAAGATTTTTTTCCATTACATTTTTTACCTGGTTATTGCTGGATTAGAAGAGTCACAAAATTCCACACACACAACTTGGATGTAAACAAAAAAATATATCACACGTAATCTGGTCTTTTTCTGAATTCCACTTCCAAAACTTGGCAGAAAATCAAAGTGTTCAATCTCCTATGAATCTACTCTGATCTACTATACTAAAACACACCTAGTCTTTTTGTCTTGCATTTTTTCCCCTTCCCCATTATCTCTTCCTAAATCTTGCCTGGGAATTGAAAGCCCAGTAGAGATCTTATTCTGTCACTAAGCAAAATCTCATTTACAATTTTGGTTAAGGAGAGGGAACATATTAAAACATATCAACAATTTTAAAATCAATATTAATTATTAAATTTCACGTAGGTTTTAGAAATTTTTTACTTGTATACTTTTGACTTTATTTTATAAAATTACATTTTGAAACCTTCTACATTTTTAGGAAATACATGGTAGCTAAAAAGCTGTGTTTGCTCTCTGCTACATTTGCTTATCCTATCCTTCATTGCTCCTTGGATTTTAGTCTGATTGGTCTTGGGACATGCCTGTTCCCCACAAACACCCCCACCACCATACCCCATTGTTGTGACACATCTTGCTTATTAATGTGGTGGGAGCGGACCTCACTTACAGAATGTTTGCAGACTAGACATTAGGCTATAGGCCTTTACCATGGAGCAGCAAAGTGGTGTCTCACACCTCATCCACAAAGGTTGATCGAGTCCAAGCCCCTCTCCAGGTTCATGTTCATGTACAGCTCTTTGTTCTTATTGTAACAACCTACATTTTAGAATAGGCAGTGAGGACCATTACCAAGAGAAGTAGGAGGGGCAACCTTCGGCTGTTTGTTTTACAGGATCTCAACTTGTGAATTTACTCTTCCCTTCACAGAATGGGATACCTGCCTGGCACTTACCAAGCTACACTTGAAGAGGATCAGTCCATATCATCATGTCCCCAATTTCACAGCACCAAGTATTTTATTTGTTCATAAATGCCCTATTGTGGACATCTAGCAAAAAACAATACATCAAAAATGAGATATGCATAAATTTTCATGGAATAAGGTATAAAGCCCAACTCTCAATACATACTGAACATAACAGGAGTCTAGGAAATATTCTAAAACAAATGGGAATGCAGAATGTGCCACAGAAAATAAGACACATCAATGAGGGTAGGTTTGAAATACCAATTTAAGGCAGACTTTTACCCTTTGGCCAGGCTGTAACATTAAAATTCCATAGTTAAGAACTTACTATATATTCAGGCGTTTTAAGAACTCTGCATATATAATTACATTTGACCCTTCTAATGCCTTTATCAGATAGGTTCTATTATTGCTGTTTTTTAAATAAAGAAGATAAACTTTGAAGAGATTAATAAATTAATAAATTGGTCCTCCATGGCACAGATTAATAAATAGCAGAACCTTGATTCAAATTCTAATTTTGTCCTCGATATTAACTTCCTAATCCTAACGTTATAATGTTGTTTCATGTTGTTATGTGTTACTTTTATGGATTACAAAAGGTTAAAAACCCATTTATATCAGTTTAAGAAAAAGCAGAAATCATAGGAAGGTACTTCCCCCTTTCTATGAGGGGTTTCATAGAAACCAAGTACAGGAATGCAGCTGGGCCTCAGGAATAGCAGAAACCAGGGAATAAAGACTGACCAAACTTTGTTTCCACCTCTGCCCCAGCCACCTCACCACCTTCCACCACACTCCACCAATTCCCTCCACCCCCGCTCTACCCCCACCCCACCCCCGCCCCGCATTGTCTTACTCACTTAGTCCACTTAGTGGAAACCATAGTTACTGTGAGCTTTCTATCTTTTAGTCCAAATATTCAATGCCCAAAAAGAGATGCTTGACTGCTTGACTTTTTTTTTTTCTAATCACAAACAACACTAATTGTGGGGATGGAACACTTTGGCTAGGTTTAGGTCATTGTGCATTCTAAAACTATTATCTATTCATTTTCTTAAATCAAGAATATTTTGAAAATGTTTTATATGTCTGACACTGTCTGTAGTACTGTGAATCCAGCAGTGAACCAGACAAACAAGATCTTATATTCTATAGAGAGAGACAGGGAATAAGTAAGTTAAAATATATAATAAATATCCAAGAGGCAAATACATATATAAGAGAAATACATAAGCTAATTTCAAATAGTACTATGTTAAAACAAGGTAATATAAAGCAAATGATTGATGGGGTGGAGGAGTGGAGGTCAATATTAGATATATAAGAGAATAGTTATCTGAGATAACATCTAAATAGAGACCCAGATGACAGGAAAAAAACAGCCGTCAAAAAATCAGGAAAATGATGGCAGGCAGAGAGGATGAAGGGTACAAACGCAATGAGCTGAGAATATTAGGCAGCCAGGATGGCTAGAACCTAGTAAGCAAATGGGAAAAATGTAGGAAATAAGTTAGAGGCAGGGAGGCAGATAGGGACTAAAGTTATGTATAGGAGGCTCTGCAAGGCATTTGAATGTTATTCATGTGGAAAAAGTTATAGCCAAAGGGAGGATGCTATGATTTTCTCAAGTTGGGTTAGGTACCCTTTGGGTTATGTTTTAATTTGACAGCTTTTGTTGCAGCCAGAAGATTGTAGAATGAAGTGGAGTGTTTCCCATGAGAGCTGTGGTTCTGGGCAGATAAAGCAATGCACAGTTCTATTCTCTTCACAATTCTGTTCAGGTACTTCTGCTATAAATCCCCTTAACAGTCAGTCCCCCCACTGTCAATCACAGTAGCCACTGCTCTTCCAAAACCAGCTTTATCTAGGTTTATTTTCTACCAGTTTTCCACATTTTAAATTTTCTTATCTTTTATACAATTTTAAGGCTGTTTAAAAGGGCTAGCTCAATTGAAATATGAATAACTTTCCAGCGTTGGAAAGTGATCTTTGTTATGCTGAATTCATTGATTGATTACCTGATAGTAACACTTATTTGAATTACTGTCTCTTGCCTCTAGGCATTGGCTTCCAGGTAGATTTCACTGGGCTTTGTATTTTAAAGTTTCCTATCTTCCAAGCTCTGTTATTTGCCATGCTTATTTTCAGCTTTCTTAGGAAAAAAATGATTGGATCCTGGGGGCATTTGCTAGATATCTGGCAAGGAGCATCACACAGGTATAAAAGCAAGTCAACCTAACTGAGGAAAATGGAGTAAAATGGAAAAGGATGCCAGTAGAAAGGAGAGAATCTGGGAAGGGGAAAAAAAAAAGGGAAACTATTATAGACAGTCAGGTAGTAGTCATATCAAAAAACAAAGGAGTGCCCCCAAAGAGTTATGAATTGCTGCAGGAGAATTAATGAGATGGAAAATTTCTCAAGGAAAAAGAGCCAAGTATATATAAAGGGGAGAAAAGCATAAAAGGAAGAAAAAAAAAATAAGGGAAAAGAAAAAATTTTTAAAAACCCCAAGTGCAAAGTGAAAGAGTAAAACAAAAGAAAGGATAAATGAGGAAATGGTGCCTTGCATTAAAGCAAATGTATTCTGTTTTCTTTATTCTTATCTTTAACTGGCTTTGCATTTCTCGGGTAGCAAAGCCAAACTGAAAGGATAATTTTGTTTATGTACCCAATTTGCATAATTGTGCAATATAAATTACAATGCTAATTAAGGACAGCCCTTGGGCTTCTGGAATTGGGTCAAAGTGGCTCCCCAAGTGCAGGGAGGTTGGGGCATTGGCTCTGTCCCCTCTCCCACTGCAGGGAAGCTGGGCAACAAAAAAGAACCTCTCTGACAGTGTGTGAAATCTTGTCAGAATTTGTTGAAGACCCAGAACTGTATGTCTCATTCCCAGACTTGGCTTTTAAAATCATTTTTGTGTGATTCCGCAATGAGGCTCTTGAAAGCTAAAATTTCTTCTAAATGTGGTGTTGGTTATCATTTTATGAGTCCCCTCCCATTTTTTTTTTTTTTAATTCAGAGAATTTTGGTTGAAACATTGTAGATAACTGCACATGAACCTGGCATGCAATATTTTCTCACTGGACTCTTGCCAGAATTGTCTCAAACCAGTGGATGATATACTCTGCTCAGGCTTTTATGGAGCCAGGGGAAGATGACAAGCTGATTTCTGAGCTTGAGTTAAATCCATGTCCTTAAAACTAACTAAACAATTGTACCATAACTACATCAAATTCAGTCCCAGAGCATTTATTCCCTGCACTGTTCATAATAGAGAATTGAGAGGTATAGAGTTCTTATCATTTTTAGCTTGGGGTTTTCAAGGAAAGAATTACTTCTGAGTTACTGTTGTGAAGGCTGGCATAACTATTTTGGAGGAACCTCTGTTTAGGTCTGTTTTGAAGGTGGTGTTTGGCAAGCCTTTGGTAGCCATTGAAACTTGACCTCAAGCAAGTTGTATGCAAAGTAGAAACAAGCAGCTCTCAATCACTCAAGTACCTGAGGCACTAGTGAGGGAGACCGATTATCCTTTCTCCGTCATCTCTATTCACTTTCCTTTTTCTCCTTCTCCTTTTGAGAAAGTGTAAGCCACTTTTATAAGAGATTTATGATCTACCTTACTTGGGTAACAGCATAACAGTTAAGGCTGCTAGTTGTATACACATGATTTTGACTTTGAAATACCAAGAAGCTCTTTCCACTGGGATAATTATAGGAGTAATTGGAAAATACGTGACCTGTGTTACTTTGTTTGCTAGAGCAATGTTTTCCAAACTCTTTCATGTCCAGACATATGAAAAAACAAAAAGATAACTATGTGATCCTGGGGTGCTATAGTCCGAATATTTTTGTACCCCCTTGGAGGTAAAGATAACCCCCAAGGTAATGGGATGAGAAGGTGGGGCCTTTGGAAGGCAGTTGAATCATATTGGTGGAGTGCTCGTCAATGGAGTAAGTGCCCTTATAAAGGTGGCCTAAAAGAGGCTCCTTGCTCCTTCTGCCGTATGATATTTCAGTGAGAAGACAGCTATTTCTAAAGAAGCGGGCCCTCAGGAAACTTGGAACCTATCGTCCCTTGATCTTGGACTTTCCAACCTCCAGAACTAGGAGGAAAATATTGTGTTGTTTTTAAGCCACCCAGTCTATGGTATAGCAATCTGAACAGACTAAGACATAGGGTAAACTAGAGGAGAATTGGGACTGTGGGCAGGGCCGATCAGGTTCCAAGGTGACTGGATCTTTGGCTCTGACCAACTCAACCTTCCAATTTCCTGAAACTAAGGGGTTGGTATCTCGTGGCATGTCAGTATATCTCGAGCAAGGTCCCACACCGTAATCCATGCAGCAACAATGTTCAAGTGATCATTCGTAAGGAGTCCATGGTCAAACCAGCATGGCGTAAGTTGGGTTAAACACACAGACTTAAACATGTTTATCGCAAGGATTGTGACATTAGCAACCCTTATTTTTACCACTTATTCTCTTTTTCCCTGTGGAACCCACCTCTCTGTGCTCTCGCTTTTCTCCACGTGGTTTGGGTGGAACTAGCCTACCCTTGGCTGTAAAGGAGGGCGCTTGACCTGTTCCAGTCAGTGAGAGTAGCGTATGCCCCAGGCCATAGGGATTGGTTCAGGCTGACAGGAGACTAGAGCATGGCAAATCAGAGTCAGACTCAGGAACACTAGACAAATTTGGGAAATTCTTCGTAGTATTTTTTGAGCAGGTAGATAAAACTACGAATGAATTTTCTAAGTTACTACTGGTATCCAAGATAATATACTTCTCATTTTGCTGAAGCTAGTCTGAATTGGGTATTATTTTCAACTGGAGAAGACTTGATATTTATTTTTATTTCCTAAGATTCAGGTCTAATAGATCATGTTCCTGCTTAAAAGTCTCCAGGACTCACCATTGCATATGGGATAAAGTCTGAGTAATTGTAACTGATCTATATGTTTTACCTATAATTGCAGTAAATGTGGGGGCGGGTTCTCTCTCACTAGTTTATTGATGAGAGTGTTAGCTAAGAGTAAACAGGGTGGTGAGAGTCTGTAGTCTAGTTAAGTATCCTTTTAATATGTTGGTTGAGGGGTTCTCAACAAACAGATTGCTTTTTGCTCCTAGAGTTGGTCATGCCTTTGGGTAGATTTTTTTTTTCTTTTTTTCTGCAATTGTTCAGGTGGATTTAGTAACTCCAGCCTTTCTTTCTGGCCTATACTTTGGTACTAATTATAAAGGCATAATCTTGACAATGTAGACATTTTAGAGAATACTCCTTCTGATGGTTGTATATGTATTGAGAACAATTACTCTAAAGCAGTGATTCTTAAAGTGTCGTCCCTGTACCAGCAGTATTGCCACCTGGGAAATTGTTAGCGATGTAAAGTCTTGGGCCAAACCTCAGATCCATTGAATCAGAAAATCTGGGGATGATGGCCAGCAATTTGTATTTTAACAAGGTGATTCTCTTGCATGACAGTTTTCAAATGGTTGACAAGAAAGGTCAAAGCCTGGAGAATATCTTGGTTGAGGACTTCCTAAAATCTTCTATCTCATTACCCCAGTATACTTTCCTCATACCTTTTTAATTGCTATTTCACTAGAGTTTTTACTTCTCTCAGGAACTCATTTAACTGGGTTTTTAGTTTTGCAATTTTATGCCCCCTCTGCGTGGATGTCTATTGTCAGGTTCTCACTTTTCTTGATTATTTTCCTGGAAAATTAAAAGATCAAGTCAACTGGATTTTTATTAGTTCAACTTCCATTATATCTTCTTCAGGGTGGAGTTTAAAATTATCATATATACTTGCTCCCCCCCCCAACTCCTTAGATTTACCATCTTGTTGATTTCAGACTAGTATTTAAATCATATTTCCTAGATAGGCAACTGATGCCATTGTGAGATACAAAATAGTTCATATAACATAGCAAGGGGATATCATTCTAGAATTAAACTCATGTTATAGAAATTTCATCACGAAGGTAAAACACATTTGTACAAATTGAATTTTGACTGTATTTGCATCCCAAGCAGTAGACCAAGACAGACACTGTTTAATCGTTTAGAGCATCAGCTATGAAGTCAGACTTCCTGAGTTCAGATCTAACCCACCACTTGCTGATTATGTGGCCTTGGGCAAACCCTCTGTACCTCAGTTTCTTTTTCTGCCTGAATAAGGAAAATGCTCAGTAAATTTTAGTTAATGTTATAGCTTTTGAGGCAACATTCTGAGAAAGGTGCCTTCACGTAATAGCCAGGCAAGGTTTGTCTAAACTAAAATCGTGTCTGTATAAACACACATAAAGGCTCGTATTTTGAAGACAAAGATAATTGGTTGAGAATGATTAAACCTATACTGGTAAATGAAAATAACAAACAGTTCTTATAAAACTTGCAGTATGTACTCAAACTTAACATAACTTTAATTGATGTGCTATCAGATTTAGTTTAGTTCACATTAACCCAAGCCCAGAAACTTGCACCAATTTTAGCTAAGATAATAGTCTCTGTTATTTCTAATCTACTCTCTTTTTATTTGACTAGAAGTTCTTATTTTCCTTTTCTGAGGGCCTAATTCTCTTCTAACTCCACTTACTCAGATGTTATCATCATGTTTATAAATGGATCAGTCTCAGGTGTTGTTACTTTCATGCCTGTGAGCACATATTATTGTTTGAAAAAAAGTGTTCTAAAGTTTTTAAATAGCTAAAAATTTATGTAAAAATTCTTGCTATACCGCAGCCCAGAAGAGCTATGGCTTTTCTCCACTATGGCTATGATGCCTGCCAGGAATTGTTAGTTGTCCCAGTAATGTCCCTAATACCTGTATGAATAATCTTTGGGTGACTGGGCATAGAATTTTACACTCTACAGCATACTGGCTATATTTGCTTCTTCACAGTTACACCCATCATATACTGTCTGGTCTTAAAAATTCACTTGCATATTACATATATACCTGCATTTGCTTATTTAAAAACTATTAAATGTCAGATACTGTTCTAGGCTTAAGGGTTAAGCAAGCTAGGCTTAAGTAAACTTAACGGTTTACTTAAGTCCCTGCCATTATGATGCTTATATTAACAATGAAATAAACTGTAATCATTCTAGAAGGCAGAAACAGAAAGTTTTCTTTTCGCCTTTTTCTTAGCAGAGCGCTGGAAACATAAGTAGGTGCTTAATAGAGACTCCTGGATTATTGAAATTTATACTATACTTAAACATTAGGAACTCCTGAGGAGCCTGGCTGAAGAAGGAAGCTCAGCAAATGCAGGCTTATGAAGTGGAAGATTATTTGAGCAGCAAATCACTTTAGAGAATACCGAGTAGAACTTTCTTAGGTGAAATAACAGAAAATACCTGTTGTTTTAGTAAGGGAGGAGACCACCCCTCATATTGTCTTATGCTGAATTTCTGCCTCCAAAGAAAACACAAGTAAAAACTAAAAGACAGAAATGAAATCCACAGGCAGGCAGCCCAGCACCACACCCTGGGCCTGGTAGTTAAAGATCAACCCCTGACCTAATTGGTTCTGTTATCTATAAATTACAGACGTTGTATAGAAAAGCACTGTGAAAATCCCTGTCCTGCTCTGTTCCATTCTAATTACCGGTGCAAGCAGCCCCCAGTCACGTACCCCCTGCTTGCTCAATTGATCATGACCCTCTCACGTGGACCCCCTTAGAGTTGTGAGCCCTTAAAAGGGACAGGAACTGCTCACTCAGGGAACTCAGTTGTTGGAGACATGAGTCTTGCCGAAGCTCCCGGCCGAATAAAGTCCTTCCTTCTTTAACTCAGTGTCTGAGAGGTTTTGTCTGTGGCTTGTCCTGCTACACTAGCAATTAAAACTTAGCTGTACCATACAGTCAATTGACTGTACCAAAATTGACCGTACCATACAGTGTACCCTATAGTATACCCCCTGCCCCTTGCTGACCTAGTGAAGACTTGTGGGAGGTATCGGAAAGAGAACTGGAATTAAGGTGGGAAAATCAAGATCTGTGACTTTAGCCAAATGTCTTGGTTTCACGAAACCCACATAAAATGGGACATTTTGGAGGATATTGTGAGAATTAAAAGAATAGAATATTTGAAAACACTTTGGTACATTTTTCTAGGCAGAACAGAATTGAGTCTTGGGCAAGGTGTCTTGAGTTAAAATGGTGATGAAAAAAATGAATCATTGAAAGAGAAGGAAGCATCCTAATTTACAGTCATTAAGGACTGCCATGAAATTCCACCCCATGAAACTCTGAAATGGGTGTATATACCTTCAGGAATGTGTAGCTTGATCATCAAGAGATTCCAGTATACTGCCACAACACACTTTTATAGTTTAGACCATGATCGTGTGGTAGAGATAGTTAAAAATATTTAATCTCTCTTATTCTCAAATAATGAGTATAGGAAACAAATAAGAATTTAAATATTTCTGAAGATCATTGTGAAAATGTCTAGCATATTTTGTAAACAACAATTTCTTGGATTATTAGATACTTTGCTGTTTGCTTTTCAGTAGGCACAAACATATTGTGAGATGTTCTGTATTTATGAAGTTACAATAAACTGTGAAAATAACAGAATGCATTCTGGGTAAGCTAAAGCAGTAGTCCAAATATTTCATTAATATTCAGATCCATACTTTGTGTTGTATTCTTATTCAAAAATTTATTTTAAAATATTATTGTAAGTACGTTTCTTATTGCCACTTTTTAATTTTCATTTGTAGGTTGTGGAAAATGCACTAGAATCAACAAACATGGGGACAAATTCAACTCGGATATCAAGTCTTCAGAGAAGTTTTTCCTGCCTTTCTCTCCCTGTAGAATTAAGTATTCTTCCACTGTGACACCATCTAACTTGTGCTCACATCTTCCTCTATTGTAGTTATGTGTTCACATGCCTGTTTTTTTGTACCAGGTTCTCCCAAAGGGAGACATTTAGTCTTACTCTTCTTGGTAACTTTAGCACAGACCTGGCAGATTGTTGATGCTCAACAAATGTTTATTGACTCAGATACGTTCAATTGAACATTGACTTTTGATCAACTCTGGGAAAAGTCTGCAAAGCTAGTGAGGACATTCAGAAATTCATTTCATTTCAATCTTAACTAAATAAATTATTGAAGTCTCAGAACTTCTCAGTACTTATGTGTCTCAGATTTAGACACATAGAAACTTGGGTAAATAACATCTATATTGTTATATTCCTCAAAAAAGTTTATCTTTTCATGAAATGAATCTACTGAGGATATTTATAGAAGCTGAATGTAAGTGAGCAGAATAAAGTGGCGTGTGTGTGTGTATGTGTGTGTATGTAATTTGAAGAGTAGGTGGGAGAAGGTTGTGATAGGATAGCAGATCTTGTTTATAATAGTCACTAGCTATAACAGACACTGACTGATGCCTTTCCAATATCCACATACCTTTTCTTTCTTTCTTTCTTTCTTTTTTTTTTTTTTTTTTTTGGAACAGAGTCTCGCTCTGTCCCCCAGGCTGAAATGCAATGGCACGATCTCGGCTTACTGCATCCTCTGCCTCCCAGGTTCAAGCAATTCTCGTGCCTCAGCCTCCCGAGTAGCTGGGATTACAGGCTCCTGCCACCACGCCCAGCTAATTTTTGTATTTTTAGTAGCAGTGGGGTTTTGCCATGTTGGCCAGGCTGGTCTTGAACTCCTGACCTCAGGTGATCCACCTGCCTCAGCCTCCCAAAGTGCTGGGATTACAGGCATGAGCCACCGTGTCTGGCTCCCTTTTCTTACTTAATGGCTGTGCCAATTAACTAGAAATGTATCAAGTTAAAAACCTTCCTTCAGTAGCTTCCAATGCAAATAAAGGTACCCATGTAATCCCAGTCTGGCCAACATTAAAATTGACGGAAGACTGTGGTTGGGGCTTCAAGGAAAGCGTTATAGAAAGATAAACTGACTGGATTTGTCCCTTAGTTCACTGGTCCCCAACCTTTTTGGCACCAAGAGACCAGTTTGTGGAAGACAGTTTTTTCCATGGACCAGGAGGGTGCTGGGGGATGGTTTTGGGATGAAACTGTTTCACCTCAGATATCATCAGGCCTTAGATTCTCATAAGGAGCATGCAACCTAGATACCTTACATGTGCAGTTCACAATAGGGTTCGTGCTCCTATGAGAATCTAATGCCACTGCTGATCTGACAGGAGGCAGAGCTCAGGCAGTAGTGCTCGCTGGTTCCGCTGCTCGCCTCCTGCTGTGCAGCCCAGTTCCTAACAGGCCACAGACCAGTAATGGTTTGCAGCCCAGGGTTTGGGGGCCCCTGTCTTAGTTCCTTTGCCTTCCTCCCAGATGGATGCCTGGAGGAACGATCATCCCACAATTGTGAAAATTAAAGCCACATTTTAGAGTTGGTTTCAATTGTAATACAGAAGAAATCTGGACCTTGATGACATTTGAGCTAGAGTACTAATCTTGATCTTCCTATTCATGAGCTTGTTGCAAGAGACAGATAAATCTTTTACTGATTTAACTCATTGTTGAGATTTCTTGGAACTAAACGTAGTCCTAATACATTTTTTCTTCCCCAGGAAAATGGTAGATCATGACTTTTCAAATCTAATAAAACTCGTCTAGCTAAAACCACTCTGCTGAAACAATTCCATCTCAGCCCATGGTACAAGGGATTTTCCTGGATGAAAAATGGTGTCTGATCATTTTGTTGATTTCTTTGTTGGTTTTTCCTGAAACCTAGGGTTAAAGAATCCAGGAAAGTTGTCTTAGGTAGAGATATAATTTCTGTGGACATCAACTGATAAATGCAATTACAGTTTGTATGCCTAGGTTTGGCAAAAATCATATGAGCAACATCCCTCACATAATATTGTTCTAATTAAATTTTATTTCTTTCTTGGTATGAAACATGCTGCAAAAGCACAATCAATGAACACTGGACAGTTTCCTTAAATCTTGCTCTTCGTCCTATTTATATAATTTATTGTGTCAGTGGTTCTCAAGTGGTATGCTCCTGCAACTCAGCATCTGAAAATCCTTCCCAGATGTGCTGAAAAATTTTCATTAATTTGTATATTCTATTTTATTTTTATAACCAAGTACACATGCTTGTGACTGGAAAACGCCCCTCATTTAATCCCAGAGGAATATTTGGGCTTGATTCATGCCCTGCTCACTCCACCCCATTATTCAAATAGAGATCACTGAAGAAATCCCTGCCCTATAAATTTAGCTGATCCAAAAACAAAATGGAAAATTCATTATTTTAAAGATTTCTACAAGATCTTTGTACCACTCCATTTTTTTTTTCCTATTGAGAATTATATGATTCTAAAATAAGTTCCAACCCTAAGTATCAAAACTGGAACACAACTTTAAAACAGGAAGTGATTATCTCCTCAGTGGTATTTAATACAGAGGTGATAGCTCTGGTTAGTGAATTTCAGGACTAGAAATCAGGCCTGCTGCCTCTTATCTTAGAGGAGGTACAATAAGAAGAGGATTAGAACTACTGTATATATTAACAAGAAGAACTCTCTATTATGTTCAGCTATGATTATATATGGTATTATGTTTCTTTTTATGAACTACAGTTCACTGTCTTTCAACATAATGTTTGCCCAAGGTGGGGGTGGGTGTGTGTCTGTGTGTATATGCATGTGTGCACATATGTGTATGTATATTTGATTCATTCATTCTGACCTACTGAATTTACTGAAGCAATGAAAAGAAATACCTTGAACTGAGGGACCTGGCTTAACTCAACATCTGTACCATCTACCTTTGAGTATACATTCCTTTACTATGAAACATGGAACCTAAAACTAAAATTGCATTTGCTAAACTACTTTGGGTGAGATTAGCTTTGGTCAATTAGATGTTCTTGTGTAACATTTAGAAGGTGATAGTAAGGCAAAGGTCATGTGACTGGCTGAATTTATGTTCAATGATCTTTATTGGGGTACACTTTGTATATAATAATAAATAATGCACACATTTAAAGTGTATAATTTGATAAGTTCTGACAAACTTATGTGCATGTATAACCAGCATCAATATCAAGATACATAATGATCCCCTCATTCCAGAATAGTCTCTTGTGTTCTTTCCAGCCAATGCCCCACCCCTGGATTCTGGCAAAAATTGATCTGCTTTTTATTACCATGGATCATATTTGTCTTTCCTAGAGATACAAATAAATGAAATAATGTAGTGTGTCCTCTTTAACTTTGGCTTGTTTCTCTCAGCACACTATTTCTGAAATTTGTCCATACCGTTGATATGGCAGACAGAATTTTAAGGTGGTTCCTAAAATTCTTGCCTCCTGGTATATATAATTTTCTCTCAGTTTTCCACTGAACACTAATCTAGGTGCTATTGTAAAGGGATTTTTCTAGTGTAATTAAAGTCCCTAATAAGTTTATTTTAAGTTAGAAAAATTTTCCTGGGTGAGCTTGAGTTAAGTGAGTGACCTAAGCAGGTGAGTCTTTAGAAAAAAATTAAGAGATATTTGAAGCATAGACAAAATTCTGTTGGCTTTTAAAAGAAAACTTCCACGTGATAGAGAAAGCCAGATGTTAGGGAACACCAGGTTACCTCTAAATTGACAGCCAGCAAAAAAGCTAAGACCTCAGTCTTATTATCATAAAGAATTGAATTCTGTCAACAGCCAGATGACCTTAGAGGAGGACCCTGAGCCTCAGATGAGATCACGACCCTGGCCAATACCTTAAATTCAGCCTGGTGAGATATGAACAGAGAACTCAGCTATGCCATGTTCAGATTTCTCACCTGTAGAGCGGTGAATTAATA